TTATAGTGGCAAAAAACAGGCATTTAACTATGCATAATAAAATGTAAAATAACTGTCGAAGTTAAATGGCTATTAACAGATAATTCTTCAATTGCAAAATATACAGCGAAAAAAACTGATATTTAAGGGTAACGCTCCTCTCTTTTTTTGAAAAAATCTCGGATTTTGGGCTATAAAATGAGACTGCTCCCAGCTGTCCACGACCTTTCTTCAAAAAGTTATGCATTTTTGAAGTTTTTCCGTCAAAGCCTAAAAACACTCAATTTTTTAGTTTCATAAATTTTTCGCTTCTTGCCTGTATATTCAGAACTGCATATAGTCTGATAGAAGCATGTGTTTTCTTCACAATGAGATATTTTCTAGAATTTTCTGATGAGTTTTCGTGGAGATATAAGCATTGTAGCAAATGTCCTAAAAAGAGCGTCTACCATACCAGAGACTGAAACGAGTCGGGTGGATCCTCGGGTCGGGTTGGGGTCAGTGTAAAAAATACTGGTTCGGTTTCGGTTAAAGAAAAGACATCGATTCGAGTCGGGTCAAAGGAAAAGAAATTTCGGGTTTTATTCGGGTCTTGCCACAAATCAGGAGAGTTTCGTCGGTTACAATTCACTCTTCTATTTTTAAACATGTCTTTTTTATCAAAAAGAGAAGGACAGTATTTTTTCCTTTCTGCTATGACGTTGTGTGATGTACACTCTCGTACTGTTAAAGCACAGAAAGAAAAGAAAAATATATATAGAAAAACGTGTTTAGTAATTCTCGTTCGTATGCAGCATTGTTTTTTGATATATCTGTAACTGAATTCTTTTACCTTTATCGATAGACAGTTAGTCGAAGACACTGCTTTTTATGTTAAAAATAGCTTCTGATGAACTTAACTATACTTCATCTAAAATAAGTACGTAGCGCTTCTGTTCAGTAACACACATGACGACTCGCTTTAAATTTCATCCGATCGAGTTCAAAGTTTTATCAGATGTATTCAAGGTCAGAGAGCAGAGGTATAATTTTGGAATTTTATTTTAGACCTTTCTTTACCGAGTTATAGGGTTTCTAAGGTTGAAAACCTTGGTTTTTGAAACGTTTTTCAATATTTTTTCTATAAGTGGACCAGGAAAGGTCTCAAAAAAATTTCCCAAAAAATACCTCTGCGAAATGACCTTGAGTACTTCTGATAAAAGTGTTAGCTCGAGCGGATGAAGTTTGACGGGGGTCGTAATGTGGCACAGTGAAAAGCCGAGTTTTCTGAAAAATTGGTAAACAGTAATAGCTAAAAATTTGAAACAAAAGCGAAAAGGTTCTTCATTGAGTTTCCAGTCAGTGCTGAAAATACGAAGCCATAGCAACTTTTAGTTTTTACTTCACAGCATTTCTACAGAAAGCCCAAAAAGAGCGGAGGGATACCTTAAGAGTCATTGCACGAGAAAGACGACTGTTTCTCACAGAAGCGTGCTTAGTGACTATTTCAGATTTCTTTCTAAGTAGTCTCATCTTGTAGAGTATGGTCGAAAACGTATAAATCCAAATTTGTAGGCTTTTTGAACTTTTCGTTCAGTAGATATGAAATTTTGTCGACTGGAGTAAACTTCGAGAAGATATGCACGTGAAAAACGTACATCTCGTTTTTCTAGTGAACGAGAAGAGATAGAACCGCGATTTTTTCAGGATAGGTAGTACTTGATGTCTGCCATAAGTCGGACAACTTGTAGTAGATAGTACTCTCAGCGTACTATCTGGAATCACCGCCAAAAGTTTTGGATAAGCAAATTTGTTACAGAAAGTTTTGCGACCAAAGTCGAAGTAAACGGTCGGTGTATGTATGTTTAGGCCCAAAGTCGAACTATTCGAATAAATATCACTTGGATGTCTGCAAGCAAAATCTCTTTGTCTCAGCTTAGAAATGCACTGGAAGACTGGCAACGTCTCATTTTGCTCAGAATTTGGTGTTCTATCGATCAAGAACTCTTGTGACCAAAAAGGTTTTTTTATGGGATTCTGAAGGTTTTCCAGAGATGCGGTTTTGTGGAAAAGACTTTGAAAAAACTCCAGATTTCTCAAACACACTTTCAACGTATTCAATATCGTTTTTAACCTATTCTATGAGAATTTGAGTGATTTTGAATGAAAAATGAGTAAGTTATAAAAACATCACCTGGCCGTTTTTCCTACTTCAAAAAAGATGAATTTCAGCACACGTTTTTTCTGCACACGTAATTTTGTTCGCCGTTTGACAGAGCATTTTTCTATGGCGAAAGAAAATTTTTTACCATGCACTCTAAAGCTGCGGGTTCTTTGCGGAGTGGGCACCTCATTTTTTAAGCATTGGCATGGATGATTTCTTTTTAGAGTGAAAATATAGAGCAAAAAATTTTTAAACACATTTCTAGGCTCATTTTCACTCAAGGATTCCGAATACCACGTCGAAAAAATAAAAAAATAAAATAAATAAAAACTGGAGGCAAATTATGTTTAAAGCCCTTTTTTGTGATTTTCCACCCATGCTCACTATTCTAAGTTTTTCTCCGTGAAGAAGCGTTCAAATCGAAATAAAAGGACGATATTCGTGATCAGCGCAGAAGATTGAATTAGAATATGTGCCTTTGATTCAAAAATAAAACCCTGTGGAAACTTTGAATTAGCAGCGCTTTACGACTTTTTGTCTGTCTGTTGAATTGCAATAAGCAGTAAGTAAATAAGGGATATATTTTTTCTGTCTTATTTTCAAGTTTTTCGTTCAATTTGAAAGTAACCAACTTGAACGTTCTTTAGCAAAATGCTATGAGTAAACTAGAAGGGAATTTTGAGATTTTTTCCAGAACATTTTGTATTGTTGTAGAAAATTGCTTTTCTCGATGAAGATCAAATTTCCATGGGATGGGCTGTGTCAAATCCACTATATTTTTCATGGACTGTGTAGGTGATAAATGGAATAGTCAGACGCCAGAGAATTGCGCTCCATTATCGTTCCATTGGCTTAAAATTCAATGAATTTCGACATTTAGACAAATTTCTTTGAATACTTATGGATATTTTGATATAAGTCGAATCGATGCTAGGTGATTAGACAATTATATGAACCGCAGCTTTGTGACTTGCAAAAATCTGCCTCGCTGTTCTGATAATGTTAATATTTTTCGAATGTTTATTTTCGTACAGAAAGAGTAAAAGAATTCGAATTTTTCGAAAACTTTTTTAAAAACGAACGGAGCAACCCAGGACCGGTTTCGACCTTGCTCAAGGGTCTCTTCAGCTGGGTTATGGTGTGAAACATCGTGGAGAAAATGAATGCACGTACTTACGTGTCTTGTTAGTCGAATAGTAACAACTTATCTTGTTTAAATAAGAAGTTATGCTCTTCTTATTGAAGAAGAAAATAAAGCACATTTCTCTATGGATAAAAAGAACTTGTGTTCTTCTGTCCGAAAAAGGCGAAAGTAAAGCACATGTCTGTGTGTATATCGCTTTTTAAATAAGAAGGAACTTATTATTCCCTCTATCGAAAACGGAGAAAATAAAGGGCTTGTTAGCCTGTTTTTCTCGGAAAAAACGCACATTCTGCTTGAACAAGAATCTTGCACTCAGCCGACAAGACAAAAAGGAGAAAGAACATTTCTGAGTATTCCCGGCGCCGTAAGGCGAGGGTTCCAGTCGAAATCTTGTTTTTCGAATCGAACTGGAGCCATACCCGTCCGGTTTTTTAGTCGATCGATGCTCTTTCGCCCAAGAATCTCCCTAGAAGAGTGCAAAAACCTGAACAACAGAGGTGGTGAGAGTGAGACACAGTACGTGCATTCATTTTCTCCACGATGTTTCACACCATAACCCAGCTGAAGAGACCCTTGAGCAAGGTCGAAACCGGTCCTGGGTTGCTCCGTTCGTTTTTAAAAAAGTTTTCGAAAAATTCGAACTCTTTTACTCTTTCTGTACGAAGATAAACATTCGAAATCTATCGTTCGTCATGCTTAACGGCAAGATTGTCGTTTTTAGTTCAAAAATATTAACACTGTAGAATGATCTAACGACTCCCAGATGTGAAACGGCAAGTGATTAACGAATTAGATGAACCACAGCTATGTGACTATATGTTATTGAACACCGTTCACTTTAAATACCGAGCATTATAATTAATGTGATATCTGACTGTTTTCATTTGGTTTTTGTCAAGGCGTAAACCACCAATCAATCAAATAGACTCAACATCATCAATGGATTGCCCACTCATATTTCTATCTACACTACTTTTAATCTTGACTCATAAGGCCGATAGTACGAACTGGGATTACAGCAAGCACGGACCTCATGTTTGGAGTGAAACACATCCGAAGTGTGCTGGACATAATCAATCGCCAATTAATATTCAAACAGCGTGTACAGTTTATCGAAATTTCAAACCATTTCATTTTACACCTGATCACAGTAAACAAGTCAAGTTCACACTCAAAAATAACGGACATACAATAACAGCAGAACCTGATGGTCCTGTAACACTCTCACTGACTGGTGGAAATTTAATTGGAAAATTTGATTTTAAAGGTTTTCATCTTCATTGGGGACCAAATCACAATACTGGCAGCGAACATCAGGTGTAAGTATGTACACTTGAAGTGGACATGAGCTCATAGAGGATGGAAGAAAGAGGTTGAGAATAGCGATCCTTTCCTGTAAACTTTTAAATAGACATTTTTATCTCAGAAGTTCATTTTGGCGCTCACGTATATATCCTATTAGCAAGATATCATAAGGGACTACTTTTTCTTCGAATCATAGTACTTTTTCATTTTAAAATCACTCTGTCGTAACGTATCGCAGCTTTTATGACAGCAGTTCAATGGAGCAATAAGGAAAATAAAAAAAACATGTAAGGTTCTATCGAGTCTCTCTCTTTCTTTTCGTGTTCTCAATCGACTAAACCGTCTTATATCTGCCATTAATCCTTCGAATATGAAAAGAGAAACGGCACTCGCATGTTTTCGGTAATCAGTCAAGATTTCTTCCGGATGAAAATAACTCATCTTGACGATTCCGATAGGTTGATTGCAGCGCTGAACGAATTTCTACTGTTAATCACGCGTACTATCGATCCCCAGAAAAAACAAAATATGTTGCGGATTGATCATCAGCGAAGTTCAAAGCTTTTTGCTTCGATAGTCGATATGACATTGCAGAGTTTCGTGTGTGGTGCCTGGTATGGTTCAGAAGCATTGGAGCTGTGTTTGTCGTATGGCAGTTGTTATCACACTCTTTTCCGCACTTTCTCCATATCTGACACTAGCTCGAGTTACCTCTGTGACGTTAAGTTTCATGAATTCCAACCATTTTTCTCTCCGATCTTGATTATGTGGGATAGCTCTGTAGTTCTCAGAACTCATGATGAGCCGAAATCTGGAATGTGGCGTTTCCTCTCCCCGGTCCCCACAAAACTCAATCCATGAATTAACTGTTCTACCGATAATAATTTTCTATTTTGGAAGAAGTCCTATTTTTAAATATTCTTTGGCAAATAAGCGAATGGGAGAATGGTTGCTGGTACGATACACAAATGCTAACTGAGAAGCATGTCTATTTAGGAACGGTGATAAATCCGTGGGTGAGCTTCATTTTGTTTATAAAAATGATGAAATAGATCAGTGTGCCGTGCTGGGCTTTTTTCTGGAGAGCAAACAGGATACAAATTACAGAGTACATGCAGTGAAGAGGTCGAGAGCTGTTGCAATAGCGAAACAGTGGCGAAAATACTTTGACGTGGCGCAGAGCTTAATGAAGGAAAATGATTCGACGACGATTAACCTGAACTTGGCTTTACTCATGGGAAGCAATCTAGTTGATTATTGGCGATACGATGGATCGTTGACAACACCACCGTGTACTGAAAATGTCATTTGGACCGTATTCAGGCAAGGTATTTGGATTCTGGACTATGATTTCGAATTTTTTCGCGATGAATTGTTTTTTGAAAGTTATCGTGGTCCACAACCGTTGTATTACCGACAGGTCTATCGAAGTTTTGCGAAAGAAACTTTGTCGCCAATACCCGACCAAAATTGTTGTCGAAAGTATCCGAAGGACAACGATCCCCGAATTCGGGCTGTTCTTTAATATCATTTACAATGCTATCTCCTGCCCATTTCATTGTAGTTTTCCACTTTTTTATCGATTATTGTACTAGGCTTGATTGATCTGCGGTTCATTTTTACTGGCGTTAATCTTACTATAATAAATATCAATCCTTCTCGGTCTTAAGTGTAACCATCCTTCGCTTCAAACATGTTCGATGTGTACTCAGATTTTCAAAAATCTAAATGGCAGCTTCTTTGATGTTTCAGTCACTTAGTTCAACGCAGTCAGCAAACATTGAATCATAAAGAGTATTGTTATCATTCTTTTTCTTTCCTCAATCCATTCGCTCTTCCTTTTTCATCTTTTCCAATTTTATCGCTTTTTAATTCATAGTAGAGCCGTATCCAATAAGAAATATTTCTATCTTTTCACATTTGGCACATGTTAGGAAATGTCTATATAAACATGTGCTAACATGTGCCAAATGTGAAAAGATAGAGATATTCCTTATTTGATACGCCTCAAGTATAAAAAACAAGTTACGAAATTTACCATTCTCGGGCCTTTCAGCGGCTTTCATATAAGGCGCTCCAAATTCAAGATAACAGCACTATTTTTTCTTCCAGTTATACCAGTCGATAGAACTCGACGAGTTGATCAAGAATATGTGCGAAGAAATGCTTGAAAGTAAAAATAAACGTTAGTTTCTATCAAAAAAAACACTTCGGATCTAAGTTTTTAGCACTATTTGTCAAGGTATTTCGCTGTTTTCTCTATCATTCAAGCTCTAATGACATATTGTTCCTAGTGTAACGAATAGTCCTTGAAGAGAGCTGCAAGAATATGTATGAATAATTGAGTTAAAGTTTGGGATCAGGATGGAATCATAACAATAAGTTCAACATAATTTAAAATCAGTATACTTTTGGAAATAAATGCAAATTTTCACCATCAAGAATCGATTTCAAAGTAAAATAAATATGATATTCATAATCAACACTAAAAGCTGAGTCGAATGAGATGCTATCCATGATTTTAATAAAGTTTAGTTTTAGTCGAATTAAGTATTTATGCATATTCTTATAGCTCTTGTAAAAAATTACAAAAATACTCTACACTGAAACTTCCGTCTTCTAATTGCAGCCGACCACCCCAACAGAATTTTTATCTGAAATATCAAGAGACAAGAATCTTGCAAAAAATAGGACGGTAAAGTCGACGAGTGCTCTCACGTAAATTTTCGCTTACAGTTTCTTTTTTCTCTATATGCAGTGATCAACTGTAGTCTGTATGTCATACATGAACAAAGAGAGAACACTATGTCAGTCTACTGTATTTACTCTTTGAGTCGGACAAGAATTTAAAGGAGAATGCTTCTCTTAATTCTCTCTATAACTCATCACAAAGTATGCAGGCTTTGGTCGCTGATCAAGGATATAAGCTGTATGGGTTGAGCAGCGGAAGTAGAACACACTATAGCAATGCACAGGATGGGGATGAGAACACCTCAGAGTTTACTTTTGGACAATTTAGTCCAAAAGTAAATTCTTTGCATTTGAAT